TACACGACGCTCTTCCGATCTCCCCAAAACCCCAAAACCCCTCAGTGATGAAATTTAGTATTGATTATGTAAATATTCCTTGGGATTAATATAAATAGAAAATGTCATCAGAATATAAAATACTCAAAATACCTATCACTAAAGACAAAACAGTCTTCTATTACTATAAACGCTATGTCTAAAAATCAGCAAAACCAGAGTAAATTGTAACTTTGCCATAAGATAGAACTATTTATGTTTGTCATTTCTTAAGAGCGATTGAAGAGTCATTTATTTAGAAATTCTTTGGATTAGCTGGAAAAATAAAGCAGATCAATATAGGCGAATATAAGAATAAAGCTAACAATAAGAGAAAAAGAAGAACTGTATATTTTGCCTTGGTTACTTATAAAAATACTGAAGATTGCAATCATGTCTTAGATGAGCCCAAATTTCTATAAGCCAAGGTTAACTTATTGACAAAAAAAGGAATCAAATTCTCTGAAAATCCCTTTGCTAAGGATAATGAAGAAGAGGAAGTAGAGGAATAAGATGATGATCATCAAGAGAAAATGCAAGATGGAGGCTTTACTATGGTAACAGCGGCTGCTTTGAATGAAAACTCTCATGGTGTCAAAGGAAAAGGTTCTGATGGTATTAGCACTGTATTGGGTATTACCTAGGAGGAAGCAAAAGAAATATACGATCAATAAATGAGAAAACTAAATCACCTTGACGATGATTAATAGGGGGATAATGAATAATAAGCAAATGAAGATGATGAAGATATGGGAGATGGAACCGGAGGTATGAAGTATACTACTACGAAAAAGAGAAAAGCAGCAATGATGAATGATTTCTATAAGTTTTAGCTTAAAGACTACAAGAAATAAAAACTGGAGGAACTCAGAATAAGTTTTGATGAGGACCGTAGAAGATTAGCGAAAATGATGTCAAAATAAAAGGAAAAAGAGGTTAAAGGTAAAAAGACTCAAGAATGAATAAATTATTGAAACATCAAGTTTAATTAGATTAAGATATAAAGGAGTAAGTAACTAGAATTGTCAGATAGGATTAATTAAATCTGCAAATTTATAATTAAATATTATTTTCTATTCCATCCAAAAATTTTTTCAATATGGGGTTTTGGGGTTTTGGGG